ATGCTATGCTGTTGTGCTAGTAGCCATGGGCCATGGGCAAGTGTTGTGGGTGTGCTGCAGTCAGTGAGCAGGAAGACAAAGACAGTGGGACAGGATCATTTGCATCATGGCGATCACGGGGAAAGACTCATGGAGCCCTGGTCGCTGCTGGCGTGGCCCGGAAGCAGGTGCGAGAGGCGGCGGAGTTCGCCAAGAAGTTCCACGCTGCGCCCGGTCAAGATGTTGTCCGTGCAGTCTTTTCTGATTTCGGTAGAGGGGCGCACTCTGCGAACCTCCGGAAAGTGCGACTTGGCTTAAACTAAACTGATTTGCTACATGCAGTCATGCCATGTGTTTGTGTGTGTGAGTCCCACACATGTTCTGTGTAGCCACATTGCCATCCGAGACAAGAGATGTACTCTTTCGAAGACGCGGAGGGTCAATTGGCCGGATATACAGGCACAACGCGCAAGGATTCATCGATGACGCGCTGCCGTACAATTGCTCTTTTGTCGCGCTTGAAGGCACAGGCTTCAGCAATCGCGCAATGGTTGGGCGATCAGAAACTGGATTGGTAAATCGCTAGCATTTTATGTCGGTACCAGGTCTCATATGTCTTTCATTTCTAACTTTCTAACTACTAACACTAACTACTAGCTAACTAACTTCTACGTTAGCTTGCAGCTGATATATTCTAAGCTAACGCTTCAAAAGAAGCACTCCTGATACCGTTAGGTTAGGTCCTTCAAAACAACTCTACGCTCGAAGCCTAGTCTTTCCAAAGCAAAGCCTTGACCCTGCACGCTGCAGAGAAAGCCCAATTTGCGAATCCAGCTAAATCCAGTTTAATCCAAAACTTAATCAAAAACCCTAAGCATAAGCCCTGCAGCCTGAGCCCACGCCTAAACAGCCTGCGCATTGAAACCACGCACATCTGAGGAGCTGTACCCATGGAATCTTTGTCCGCATGAGCGACGACACAAATGTTTATGTGTCGCCCGAGAAGGGTAGTGAGAAGACTTCTGAAGCAATGCTGCAAGAGTTGGGAGATGGTGCTGTGCTTTCAGAGCATCGGAAGCTGAAAGGGCGTACAGGAAGGCGGAAGGTTGCGCCCTTGTTGGGCATACTTCAGTGGGCCAGCATCAGACGAGTGGGGGCCGAGCCCGGGGCGTTGGGCGAACTGGCGACTGTGCAGGTACATGTGCCCTCCCAGATCTTGCCGAAGGCACGTTTCTAGAAGCTTCATGCGGAGGAAGGGGTGGGGAATAGAAGTTTGCGCATTTTGCTTCTGTGAGTCAGGCAAACACAGCGACGTTATTGCATCGGACTTCCAAATGGACACTTCTCGGATGCTCCGGAACATCCAAGCACTTGGGTGGGCAACATGTTGAGAGCATTCTTGCCAAGATCCCAATCCGGATAGTCGTCTCCTGCATCCTGTTTGCATACATTTGTATTGTTGTTGTTCTGTCACACGCACATGACTTGACTTAAGTTTGAAAACCTGAGGTATCGATGCGCTCTCCGCAAATGTAAGCATGGCTGCTATTGAACAGCGCGAGTTTCTCCGACGGCGGAAGAATGAGAAATGCATCACCACACCGTTGTTCTTGTTTTGTTGTCACCACCAGTCAGCACTCGCTAAGAAGCCGATGATCTTGCGTATTGACGGCGTGGCGACAGGCCGGGTGATCCAAGAGGGGTCCAGGGAGACGGTCGGATGAGTCCATAAATTATACAAATAATAATTGTGGCCTAGGGTTCACATTCTTGCAAGCATGCAGTAGCTCAAAGACTCGCCCGTGAAGTCATTCTGTATTCACCGCAGTCAATCAACAGTTTCCTGGAGGTTTGGTACGCTTTGCCCACTCGACAAAGGGCACACAGTTCCGACAGCGCCTGGAGAATGTTCTGGAAACCCTTGTGCAACAGGCCGAGCGGCAGGAAGTTGCACAACTAGCGCCCTCGATGCGTGAACTTCGTGCCCGTCACGAAAGGATGTTGGCAGTGTGCTCATCTGGTCTCAGCGAGGATGAACAAGACAGCATCCTGACAATGATAAACACAAACTGGCTTGAGGCCTTTGAACCTGGCGACAAGTTGTCTCATATATGTGGCCCAGGCTGTTGCACAAATGACGGGACCTTCCGTGTCAAACTCCGTGCAACTCTGATTCGCTCTTCTCTCGACTCTTCAGTCCGCCTTTGCTCTATCGCTGGAAAAACTTTGATGGCGCTTGCGAGTTTGTAGCTCGTGGATTGATGGTCAAAGCACTTCTTCGCTCAATATGGAAACTTTGCCAGAACGAAACATCAGAGAACATCGAGGAGTTGCAACGACAATTTTTGGACCTTGATTCACCGGATGGCAGTCCGGCTGTTGCGCAGCAGATTCGGGTTGCAAAAGTTTTGCAGCTACTGAGCGAGCCCGATGCAACCGTGCCGTAACTGCACTTCATTCCTGCTATCCTAGCTATCTAGGCTATCCTGGCTATCCTTGGGTCAGTATCCGGCATCGGTATCTGTATCATCATCTTCCAAGGGATTGTAGTACTAACATCACACAATAATAAGCTGTCGAAGAAGGGCATTGCGTGATGTTCGAGTCTGCAAGATGCCGATTCCTGCCACATGTAGTAATTAGTTGAGGCACGCTTCGTCCAAGCACTTCTGGTGACGCGCCCACTTACGGTATATATGGACACGGTGTCCTGCGTGGAAACACTGCGCTCCCGGCTGAAGATGAAAGCTCGTGACTTGTTGGCGTCTGACAGTCCCTGGCAACGTTCTACTAATGCCGATCTGGTTGCAGAGTGTCTGCGGGTGCTGTCGGGCAGCGCGGGGTGGGATGTGGTCCTTGGCTACCAGAACTTGCTGCAGGCACCGGTCACGGATCCGTGTTGGTTCTCAGAGGCTGGCATTCACAAGCAGGATTGCGTCAGTCTTCTGCTCATAGGTGCGGCGGACTCGTGGAGACGTCTTGTGCTGCCGTACACGTGTTTGCCATGGCAACTTTTTGCGTTGGCGAACAAGCCGACAGCAGACGCTTTGGCCACTTTACGTTCACTGCAACTGCAGCATGGCGCATGTGACCGTTGCGTAGATCCACTCTTCTCCCAGGCGCATCATTGGGCACAGGGAATGGGATTTTTTGAACTTGTAGTGAAGGATAATATTAACTTAACTTAGAATTCTATCTATCATTACATAATTCTATACTTTTATATTCATATCTCATATCACTAGTGCTATGACTCGGGGCGTAAAAAGATTCAGCTCCATACCTTAAACTTGAGCCTTACGACCTTGTGCCATTGATGGGGTACGACTCTGGAGAAGTGGGGATTCTGGGATATGGAGCCAAACTTTCAGGTTTAGGTTTACAGTTGGTTTCTGGTTAGGGGGGGGTTAGCTAGCGCGTTCCGTGGCCAGGTCTTCTTTCAATGGGTCCTCAACGAGGGGGTGACGCTGGAGGTAAAGATGGCGCGTCTTAAACACCTCCAGCAGGTTTTGTGGGATACGCTTCTGGAACTGCCCACCAGCACGGTAGCCGTGGAAAGATCGCATGCAAACATTCAGGTGGACGTGGGGAACCATAAGGCAGTCCCAAAACGCCCTTCGAATACCCAAGCAGACAGCTACATCTGCCATTGTTTCTTGGAACACAATTTTTTGAAATCTCACGTGGAAGATGCAGTCCTGGGAACTGCCGGTGGCAGGGTCAAGAGGATTATGCGGGCTCGAATGTTTGAGAGTGCGGCCCCTGGGTCTGGAGTAGCTATCGCTCGCAACAATTTCAATGAAGACGGCACTGTGCGTCGAAGACCTGGCATGTTGAAGGGAATGCTGCGCCTTGGTTGAGAAGGGTTTTCTTTAGAGGTTTGTTAATTAATACAGTACCTGCTACTAAAATAGATGTCCAGTATAATTTGGCAAGGCAAGTGAAGGGCGGCCGCGTGACCAAGCAGCGTTCGAAGCCCAAGAAGGTCAGTGCGTACAACGCTTTTCAGAAGAGTCGCAAGAAACTGGTCCAATCTATTATAGCCTCCGTTTAAGCCAAGTGTATAGTACTGGTCTGAGTAGCCTATAGCCTATAGCCTGTAGCCTTTAGCCTAGTGGTTATTGGCAAATTATTGGCGTAGCGGTATTGGTATGGTACGGTAGCGGTATAGGTATAGGCTAGGTGTACGGTATCGGTATAGGCGGTATCGGTATACGGTATAGGCGGTATAGTATAGGCGGCTGTATCGAGCTAGGCATAGGCTGTTCTACGTTGATATACGGTACGGTGTAGCTGTACTGCTGTACTAGACGGGTTGTACATGTAGTCTTCTGCTCTGGTGCATACAATGCTAAGGTTACTTGTCGCAAGTCCCTAGGCAGGTGATAGTCCCGGATCTTAGGCATTTGTGGGCGCGTAGGAGATTGTCAGCTGATGAGAACTCCAGTCTGAACAAGAGGATGGCCGATGAATGGAAGGCCTTGCCACAAGAACAGAAAGTTTTCTTCCAGCAACAAGCAGATGAAACGCAGGCAGCACGCCTGGCGCTGGCCAAGACTGCACTGGAAACAAGTGCCATGGAGGAGGCGGATATGAGTGAGCGCTTGAGCCTTCCTCAGATCAAACGGCTGAACCACACCCGTCTGGATTTGAGTCTGACGAAAATTTCAGAACATTCCTCCTGGAATATGGGGCTTGCACTTTCGGATCACATCAGTGCACTTCGTGCGTCCCTGCTGCTTGATGTGCCGAATGCTGCCGCCCTTGCGCGGCTGAAAGATGAATACGAGGCCTGTTTTTCTTACGATCCGGCCATACAGCAAAACGAGAAAAACATGCCAGCTTTCTTGCGGGCCTGCTGCGCAGCCTGCGCTGGAACTTGCAAAGCTGACGCCGGGTTCGAGACCGTCAGCAAAATGATTCAGCAATTCCATTCATTCCTTCAGCGTCACAAGTTGGGTGGGAGCCCCTTCATTGCTTCGCTGAAGCCCCTGGTCGAGGAATCTGTGGCAACCTCTTGGTGTGTAGTTGCTATAGTGGCCTTGCGACCGCTCTGCCACACACTATGCCACATGTTTGAGGAGGGCGGCTTGCTGCGTCTTTCACTTCGGGATGGACAACTGCATATGGGGACGATGCACCAGTTGTTGCGAAGCATTGTACAATCGCACTTGGCACGTGCTGGTGATGCAGGCACGCTATCTGTTGAGGCCACTCGAAGCAAAGTGATTGGAGAATATGTGATTTGTGGTAGTACGTTGAGTTAGGCGACCGCAGAGTAAACAGGATCGACTTGTTTTCTGTTGTGTCGCACAGGGTTTGGGTGTTAGGACAAGAGGATTCAGAGAATGAGCTTATCGGTCGTGGCGTTGGGTTTGTGATCTAAGTTTTGAGCCTCCCCGGCAGTCGGCTAATGTCTACTAAGACTGTCTAAGTTCTAAATTGATCTATTTTTACACGGTCGGATTGGGCGGCATGGTTTCCGGATCATTGTCCAGTTCTGACAGTGTTCATTGGAGCACGAACACAAAAGCCTCTAAGCCGCTTAGCCTAAATCCCATATCATATCCCTCGCAGCTGAAGGCCAACCTGTAAACATGACATACTTGATCATTTATGTTAATATACAA